TGAAGATATATGGAGTTTACTAGTGTTGTAGTCCGAAACTGCAGGGTCCTGAGACCGAGACAAGACTAAGACTTTTAAAGGTCGAAACCGAGACAATTCCGAGACCACGGCCCATCAAGACCAAATCAAGATCATCTTTGTCATTTTCAGTATTTATTTGTATTTTACTGTTATTTTGGCACATATATATCAATGTTTTTTATAAATCTATCTTCATTTTATTTGATTAATGTTCATTTAGGCCTAAAATAAGCCAAGCAATCTGTAGTGCACTGAAACACTCTTCGCCCTTTTTTGGACCCTTACTCACAGTTTGAGAACCCCTTCCTTAAGAGAAAGGCACTTTACAGAAAACTGTGAAGAAAGTGATTATAGTGTGATTTTTAAACCTGTTTTTTCAAGTTTCTATCTGGAGTTACATTCTCTTACTGGTTTTATAGTGATATGTAGCCTCTGCACATTTCCTAAGTACAAGTCGTGATGAATACAGACACATTTGTGCACTTTTATTGGCAAACTTCAGCCACATGTCATGGTGAGAAGTTTATTGGCGACAGCAGTGGCCATAATGAAATATGATTCGAACTTGACGAGTGTCAGACCTCGAGTCCAAGCGCCATCAAGGCCGAGACAAGACATGGTTGAGTCCAAGAAGAGACCAAGACCATTCAAAAAATGGTCTTGAGGCCAGTCTTGAGTACTACGACACTAGAGTTTACAAACACTGTGGCACTCATCCTGTATTACCACATGACATCACAAGGTGGAACAGAGTGTTTTCTGTTTGAGAGAAGAACTCAGCCTAAATCTGCAGGGTTTGTGTGTTAAACACCTGTGAATGAAACAAAACACAACTCCAGGTCTGTTTTTAATGAGGAAAGAACAATGCGAAGTAGTTTATTTAAACAGTCTCTCCAAAGTTATTCTTCAAGTACCTTATGCATTATGAGCATCCTAATCATTCAGTGTTATGAATTAAAAGCGCAATTTACAAATTTCAGATATCAAAGTGGAATAGCAACAACTAGCATCCTAACACACACTTTCTGACAGTAAAATGCTTTATAATTAGATGAAGACAGTATGCATTGGATATATTTTGACCTCAAGAGCTGCTCCATAATATATAAGACCATTTTTGCTCATACATACATACATGGAAAAAATCGTTACAGGACCACTTTCTAATTTTGTGTAATTATAGCCACAGTCACAGAGGTTACAGCTTGCATATTTTTGTCTAAAAGTAGCAGTGATTTAGGTACAATATATAATTTATCTATGTTATTATTATTATCAATTTCTTCTATTCCATGATAGAAACTTGAAATTTGAAACTAGAAACTCGTCTGTATTGTGTAATCATTCATGTGAGTTAGTAGTGAGTAACTTTTAGCATTACACTTACAGAGCTGTGCTTGAACCACCAGTTTGTTGTAATTGAATTTTGATAACTTTTGTTTTTCCCTCTGATTTCTTTCAGCAATTGGAGGTTATCTAATCCTTTTTTAACAGTGTGAAAGGAAAAACACTCATGTGGAGGACGTGCACTCCAGCTCGATGGTTTTGTCCCTACCACCACATCATCAAGGACCTTTTTTGTAACTTTATTTGGAACCTGCTCTGTGGGATAAGAGTTGGTTTTATTTTCCCCAATTAATTTATTAGATAGATTTCTTATACTATTTTCTCTGAAATCTATTAGTATTGCCACAAGGACTGGTGCATATCATATTTTTGGTGATAAACTTTGAACATTGTGACATTTGAAATATGATATGTGATGTTTTTGGCTAGTTTAAGAATTAGGTCTGTGGAAAGTCAGAGATGCATGTTTCTCAGTCCAATAAAAAACTGTAAAAAAAAAACAAAACAAAAAAACAGGCTTTTATTTTGGATATTGTTTGGCTAAAAATGTACATACTGTGGCTTTAAGCTGCAATAGATACAAGTCAAAAGTTTGAATATACCATATTTTATGGACTATAAGTTGTTCCAGAGTATAAGTCGCACCAGCCAAAAATGCATAATGAAGAAGTAAAAACCATATATATAATTTGCACCGGACGGTAAGATTACTAAAACTAAAATGGACTAAAACCAGAGACCAGGAACTGACATTTCATCTTGAAAGTTAAGTTATAGTAATAACAATAAAAGAGAGAACAGCAGACTGTTAACGTCACATATAAACAGTTCTTCAGATAAACTATAGCATAAACAACAGAACAGAACAAGTTTACCAAACTCTCCATCTCACTCCAAATCACTAAATCCATTCAATTCTTCATCCTCGGTGTCACTTCTGAGCAACTTGGTGACCTCTGATGGTAAACGGAGCACCACTTCCTCTTCTGTGTAGCTGTCGTCAGACTCAGCATCAGTTCCGGTTAGAATTATTCCGACTTTTCTGAATCCTGACAGGATGGTTTCAGTGTCACTGAAGTCCAGGCTTTGTCCATCCATCCAGTGACTTCCAGGAAAGTTGCATTGTGCACCCTCCCAGTTGTCACAAGTTTCTTGCTCACTTCAAACTGTCTTTGTGCTGCTCAGTTACCGTTTTCAGCTGCAGCTTGTAATCTGCAAAATATGATTTTCATTTGGGGGAATTTGTGTTCAGTCTTCTCAGTTTATATTTTAAATTTTCAGTAGTACAGAAGTAATGATTGACAACTGACATGATACAGACAGTACAGCAGCTCTTTCTGCAGGAGACATGCACAGTATAGTGAAGTGACAGTGGTACAGTAATAGAGTGATAGTAGCAGATACTGACACACAAGCCCAGAGTGCCCTCTCGCAGCTGTCAGTGTGAAAATTTTAATATATAAGTCGCACTTGAGTATAAGTCACTGGAAACACCCAAACCCTGAAAAAAAGTGCGACTTATAGTCTGAAAAATACGGTACCTTATTCAATGTTTGTTTGTTTGTTTGTTTGTTTTTTCTATTTTACATACCAAATACATCAAATACATGAAGTAAAATCAAATTTTTCCCCTTGTCTACTTAATCCCATATATCTTGCTTCTTATATCATTTATTGATGTCTTCTGTGTAAATACAAAATGCAGAAAGTAGTAGTGCATATTGTTAAGTATATTGTTTATATTGTGATTTTTTTTTTTTTTTTTTTAGGTTTTATTATCCTATTCTAACCTTCACACTTACTTTCCATTTACTGTTTTTGCTTTATATTCTGAGTTACCTTGAAAACCATAACATTATAGACTTAGACAAACTTTACTGATCCACAAGGGAAATTATTTGGGCACAGTAGCTCACACATCACAATACATTATAATAACAAGTAGCAAAAGTAACAAGATTACAATATTATACAACACAAAACACCACAGATTTGTTCTTACATTGTCTTCTGGGAGGGAGCTTGTGTTTGCTACCTGCCACAAACATACTGCTTTGGGACTATTTTTGCCTCGGTCACCTGTTGATGTGACAGTGGAGAGCGGCTGGGCGGAGAAGGGTGGAGGGCTCAGAGGGCAGCCCTGTCTCACGCACCTGTTTCCTCTCACCTCCGACCAGATCTGAGCGGCTTTCTTCACCGCTCCGAGCTACACACAACTCACAATCACGGACTGCAGGTAAGGGGACTGCTCTGGCTGTGTACGGGCAACTTATGGAGTCGTTTTTTTGAGGAATTTTGAGACGTTTGTGTATTGAGTTTGGTGTGAATTTTGGTTGGAATTTGAATCAAAGTTGAGATTATAATATCTTATTGTCAGTAATATGCTTTGATGCTTTTCGTGGAGAGATCTACAGTCCATTGTCTGTCAGTAAAACCATCTGTAAAGAGTAGAGTTCAGACTTTGAAATGTGAGAAGTTAAAGAAAAATTTACACATTAACATTTAGACAGAAAAAAAGTAATAACAATCAAAACTGATCAATACGAGAAAAAAATTGCAATGCATTTTTTGTCTTATGTCTTTTTTTTTGTCATATTGCTCAACTGTAACATGAATGTATCTTGGGTGTGGTGCATTGCGATTGGCGATTTAATCAAATTTGAATCAAGATTGAAATCAGATTGAGTAATTTCTTATCGTCAATGATATGCTTTGTTGCTTTTTATGGAGAGGTCTACAGTCAATCCTCTGTCAGTAAATGCAAGTGTTAAGAGCAGAGTTCAAACTTTGGAAATTTGATGTTTTTAAGTTAAACAAGACTTTTAATCAATGCCATTTATCTTTAGAAAAATACCCTTTTTATTTATTTATTTGTTTGTTTTTTTATAAGACAGAATTAAAAAATCAAACTGATCAATATGAGGGGGAAAAATGGAAACATGCAATATTTTGTTTATTTTTATTTTTTTTATTTGACTGATTTTTTATTTATTTTTTTTTATCATATCTCTCAACCCATACCTGAATGCATCATGGGTGTGGTGTATTCCTCTGTAGTGTAGCAGAGAATTGTAAATTTGAGTTTTCGATCATTACAAAGAGGTGTACTTGCTCCATAGATGTGGCTGGTGTCTGAGGAGCTGACTTGAGGTTTCATGAGGTTGTCCGCGACACAGGTAGGAACAGTTTTTCTATATTTAATGATCAAAAAATACATTTTACTTAAAGCAAACTTGTTCCTATTTCAAATCTATTTCTAAAACTACATCGGTTCCTGTTTTGTATATTCATGTGTTTACTTATCTTTTGGGGTTAAATGGTGTAAGTGTAATTCCTATTGCAGTGAATTTTGTTTATTATATTAATATTATGATGAGTGATATTGTAAATACATGGCCACAACACATAATTCTCAATTTTACAAACATGTACTGCTTTGCTTTTGAAAGTAAACTGCACAAAAGGAGAGTAATTTGTGATTTCGTGCTGGTCTTGATTTAGTCTCCGTGCAGTTTTTTTATTTTGACACAGTCTGACTAATAAATGAGATGTAATCGTTGATAAAACTGATGCGTCTCTCTTGGTCAGCTGAATAGTTAAGTTGGGCATCAGCGTGGGGGCCCCCTCTGAAGATGTACGGCCTGTATCTGGAAGCGGTGAACGACTACATCAATGAGTCGTACGGAGAAGACGTGTGGAGGCTGATCGAGAACCGAGCCGAGATCCCCCACCTCAAGTTTGTACGGCACCAGATGTACAAGTAAGACGCCGATAGCTTCAATATCTGTCAGAAGGACTTAAGCTGCAGAATGTCTCAATCAATGAAAGGGGGAAACTGCTCAGGTTTGATCAATGCTGTATTGATCATAACATGTTAAGTGGATGCATGATGAGCAGGTTTGCACTTATCACATCCAGGCACACTCATGATGTTTTTAACTATAATTATTGATTTGCCAACTACAGTATTTAGTCATTAGGGATCCAGCTCTTTCTGTTTTGATAGTGATAATTTGCCTTAAAGTATCTGATATCAACCAATACTAGAGCAGAGATATAATTTATTTCCTTTATACAAGAACAGCATATAGTGAAATAAAAAGACTGAAATGTGTGTAACTGTTATTTATCATTTAAATTAACTACAAAACAGCTCTAAGTTTAATATTATCAGACATTTTGGTTCAAACATTGGCCAGTAAATCATCTTATTACACCAGTGTATAAACAAAATTGGGATATCGACTAAACTTTTCTAAAACTAAACTTTTTTTCAAAATTGGTTCCAATATCTGAGACCAGTGTCATATCAGTATTGGCTATACTGCCTATTCCTTGTAGTTTATCACCAGGAACTGTACATTATCTATTTCAAATATAGATTACCATTAAGGATAATACTACTGCAACTCATGGAACAATGTAGGGAGAAATTTATAGTAAGTATGTCTCTGCATAAAATTAGATTTTGTATAATAGAAATCTCCAATACTGAGAGACATTTAATAACTTAATATCATAATGATTAATATTGCATCATCATATCCATCCATCCATGCATTTTCTTCCGCTTATCCGGGTTCGGGTCGCGGGGGCAGCAGTCTAAGCAGGGACTCCGAGACTTCCTTCACCTCAGACACTTCGGTTCCCCCCAAGAAGCTGGAGGAGCCGAGAGACAGTCCCTCCAGCGTGTCCTGGCCTCCTCCCGGGGGGATGTGCCCGGAACACCTCCCCAGGGAGGCGCCCAGGAGGTATCCGGAACAAATGCCTGAGCCACCTCAGCTGCTCCTCTCAACGTGGAGGAGCAGCGGATCTACTCCAAGCTCCTCCCGTGTGACTGAGCTCCTTACCCTACTATCTCTAAAGCAGCGCCCAGCCACCCTCATTTCGACCTCTTGTATCTGCGATCTTGTCCTTTCGGTCATTACCCAAAGCTCATGACCATGATGAGGGTAGTGTGAGCGTAGGAACTCAGATTGACTGGTAAATCGAGAGCTTTGCTTTTCAGCTTAGCTGCCTCTTCACCACAACAGTTCGATACAGCGGCCGCATTACTGCAGACGCTGCACCGATCCGCCTGTCAATCTCATCAAGCTGCACTATGTCATTTCGTTTGCATGAGGTTCTGTCACCTGCTCATCCATGGAGATGTTATTAGTTGGTCTGGAATGTGTTACTGTATGGCATTGTACTTATCTTTCTTGCAAGCATTCAATGATGATATGAGTGTTATTATTGTCTGCATTCTTAAATTGAGCAGGGTTGCCTCCACAGATCTGACCTGTAACTTGCCCTGGTAATTGCTTCTACTGTGGAACATTCCATGCAAGCCAAAAATACTTCAGTGGATGCAAAAGATACACCTTTAATGGTTGAAAGATTGGTTTAGTAAGCAAGGTTATGATGATTTCTTTTTGAATAGAAAAGAGCTTTTTTTTTCTTAGCAGGGTTCCTGGCAACCCTCTTTCAAGCATAATTTTAGCTCATTTCTGAAACTACAAATATTCACTATATATTGCAAAGACATGATGCGCATGTTTCTTATTTATACCCAAGATTTTGATAAGTTTTATGTGATTTGAATCAGTGATAACCTGATCCTGCGATTGGCGAAGGCAGCAGGGGAGGTGCTGGGGAAGACGCACGATGAGCTGATGTACGCTTTCGGAGTCTACATGGTCAAGAGGATCGGCAACTACGGATATGAACGCATCCTCAAGGTGAACGCACTCATGAAACCGCGGGGGTTAAAAACAAGTTCAATGCAGATGAAGAGAATGATGTAGTTGCAATAGTGTGGAGGGTTGTTGAAATGATGAGATTAATATGTTATAATGTTGTTCCCTCATCACAAACAGACCTGGAGTTGTTTTGTTTCATTCACACATGTTTAACGCACAAACCCTGCATGTTTCGGCTACTTTAAGTTCTTTTCTCAGACTTTTCTGTTCTACCTTGTGATGTCATGTGTTAATACAGGAATTGTTCCACTGTGTTTCCAAACTCCATACACCTTCACTAGAATCATTTGGTAAAAGGCAGCTGTTAATTTGAAAACTCTACATGACACTACATGACATCAAAAATTGGACCAGAGCATTTTGAGCTTTGGAGATGTAGACAAACTAATAATAAAGGGTTACTCAATTGTGTGAATCAATTCAGGTATGTTTTTGAGGAGGGAACAACATTCTAACAACACTTAAAGTTCAATTTTAGCTAATATATGACCTTTAGGGAAGGAGAAAGAGTAGACTGCGTGTATTTCGATAAGAGTGTATATTTCTGGGTCACCTTTATGTACTAGTCATACTGTGTTCATCACTTTTTATAAATGTTACAAGCAGTGTTTAGTCCTGGTTCAGCTCTGGTTTAGACCTAATTTAGTCCTGACTCAGTCCTCCTCGTTCAGTTCTCAGTTCAGTCCTGGTTTAGTCCTGGTTTAGACATGATTTCGTCCTGGTTCAGTTCTAGTTTAGTCCTAGTTTAGACCTGGTTTAGTCCTGGTTCAGTCCTCCTGGTTCAGTCCTGGTTCAGTCCTGGTTCAGTCCTGGTTCAGTCCTGGTTCAGTCCTGGTTCAGTCCTGGTTCAGTCCTGGTTCAGTCCTTGGTTCAGTCCTTGGTTCAGTCCAGATACGGCGCAATAGTTCGGCATCTTCGCTCGCTGATTATTTGATTATCAGCGACAGTTATTTTGGTGAGAGTAACTTAAAAGTGCTGCAATAGTCGTGCAATGTCTTACATTTTAAATGCAGTAATATTGTAATGTAACAAATTACTTTAAAATTATAGTAATGAGTCATAAATAATGCATTACAGTTTTGAAGTAACTTGCCCAACAGTGGTCACAACACATTTAATTTTACAGAGTAATAATGCAATATGGTCTCATAACATAATTGCCGATGTTATTTTCAAGGTTTTCTAGAATGTATAAAAAAATAACAGCCTATGTTAGTAAGACGACTGAGGTGGTTTGATGTTTTTTTGGTTGTAAATTCTTTCTAACTAATTGAGGAGCCAATGACTCCTACAGATGTAGCAGCACAGACTGTATATATAAATGGACATAGCCACTGTGTCCCACGTCGGAAGTGAGCATGGGCGCTCTTCCGGCTCCATCAGCTCTGATACTGAAAAAGAAACCTCTCTCCGTAACTGATTTTCAAACTGAACTCAGTGGGTGATGTCACACTCACTAAGAGCCTATTCACACGAGATAAGTACAACCTGGGGACGTCTGGGGATCGGCTAATTACCGCCCTGCTTTTGTGTTAATTACAGCACATTCACACAGGATAAGAGAAATCCATGAATTACTCCATTTTACTGACATTGACACAGAGATTGAAAGTTAAAAGAACACGGAAAGAAAAGAAAGAGATAGAAAAGGCACATAGTTACAACAACAATCACTGAGATGCAGACTAATCGGACTATTATTGTCACCTGACGTCTGTGTTTGGCAAAATATAGTAGGTAATTTGCAGCGGAATTTTTACTTTACAAATTACAGACATGTCGCATTCGCATGGGATTAAGATTTTAGGCATCCTCCGGAATTATTACAAATCACCAAAGGTCCACAGGTCAAACTACTCCCATGCAAATAGGGCTGTTGTCTACTTCTTTACTTCTTTATGTAGTCTATGTGCATCAGAGTCTGGAGAGTAGAATAGAAATAAAGATGAGGAAAGATGAAGCCGGCTGTATATTCTTGTATCCTGATTATCTCATACTTAGTCACTGCTGTAATTTCCAGGTGTTGGGGAGAAATGTGCGAGACTTCATCAATGAGCTGGATAATCTGCACGAGTATTTCCGCTTCTCCTTCCCCAAAGTGCAGCCGCCCAGCTTCTGTGTGGAGGAGGAGTGCGAGACCAGCCTCACCCTGCATTACAGGAGCACCAGAAAAGGCTTCACACAGTTCGTCAAAGGTACCCGCATCTGGTGGTTAGCTCCTGCCTCACAGTGGGAAAGTCCCGGGTCTAGATACTGCACTGTATTTGCATGTTCTCCCTGTGTATGGTTGGGTTTCCTCCACTTATACTTACACAGAGTATTGCTCGCCCAAAACCTCTGTATTGGAAAGTTGAATTAGTTTCAGAGAGCTTCCTGGTTACATAGGCTTATGGGCTGAGCTTTGTACCGGGGGCGTGGGCTTGTACTCTTAACCATAAGGAGGGTTTGAATAGTGCTCGGAAGAAACCACAAGATCACTCAAACATACATAAATGATTAATTTTTTTAAGTTTTCAGGCATGTTTTTGATTAGGGAACAACATTATAACATGATAGAAAGCTAAAATTTTTGATTTACAACTCAAAACAAATTATTATATCTTTTAACTTGGAAAAAATCCTCACCTTAAGTTTACAAATAGGATAATTCTCCAGCTTGGTGCTCCTGATGTAGCCAGGCTGGCGCCACCTAGTGCCTCTGCTCAGTTTCATTTCTCTCAAGCGACTAGGTCAGGAATCGGAATACACTAGACAGTTTGCAAGAACCCTGGAAGTGCGAGTTCGGGCACCAGCGAATCAGCGAAGAGCCATACATTCTGTGTTGGCAACGATTCCCGAGATTGAGGAATTAAAGTCGCAACAAGGAGAATGTTTGTCTTCGTGCAGGCTTTGGGAAAAGCTTAATATACCAGTTAGCCCTGTTAGAGAAACACATTACATACGTTATGACCAAATAGCAGTGATTGGTTAAATTTAAAAAGTACCTGCCTATTGTCAAGCAAACGAATTCTAATGCTGCGTGGTGAATCAGGCGACTCCTGATGATGTATTGGCTTAAAATCTAAAGAGGACACTTCAGCGCTGAAGAAGCCAACTGCTCCTGACAGCCCCAGGAGCAGTGGAGAATGAGTCCAAAACAAATATGGAAAACAAAACAGATATCCACATGCCGACAGTAAAGTTTAACATAATCAAATGCATTGTAGATAAAAGCAATAATACACTGCTTAATTCTTAATTCATTTAGACCTCAAGAGCTACTTTTATATTATAGCTATAGTTTGGCAATAGAAATTTTGTTCAAATACTGGGAAAGAAATCAGCCATTAAATGAAATGATTAAACTAAATATGCAAAACAGTAATTATCGCACACAGATGTTTGGGATTTCCAACTCCTAAAAAGTATGAGTATCTTTTCTGTCTGTAAAACTCCTAAAAATGAATCTTTTATATAGTCCCCAGGCAAGAAAAAGTTGTCTCTTTGAGTTTAAAGATTAGAATAACATCATCTAACCTAAAGCCAGAGAGTTCTTACCTGCCACAACTATTTTCAACATTAGATTCAAGAAACTGTCTATTTTAATTTAGACTATTCAGCAGTTTTGTCTTTGTAAATGCTTACCCGAATATCTCCCGTAGGTCAGCTGTCTCAAGTGGGCCGACAGTTCTACAACACAGACATAGAAGTAGAGATCCTGTCCAAAGAGGAGACAGAGAAGATGACCTATGTGGTATGTCCTTAACTTAGATTACTAGTATTTGTTAGGAAATTTGGCTAGTATTCTGTTAAGTTTAGTATATAGCTGGATCTATTTTTGGAGGGGCAGATGGCGCACATTGCCAGCCTCGCTTCTATCAGTCTACCCCAGGGCAGCTGTGGATAAAACAGTACCTCACCACCAACTGCATTATTCCTACATCCAGGTTTATAAGATGAACTTCGACAACGCCGCCTTCAAACACCGGATGCCTCAGCAGAAGACGGCTCCGAGCTACGAGAAGCTGCCCATGAAGAGAGGCATCTTCTTTGACATGTTCCCCTTCAGCGTGATCTTCAGGAGGGACATGACCATGTACCGCATCGGGGACGGCCTCAAGGAGGTCTTCTCCGACCTCCAGGGCAAGAAGGTCAACGAGGAGTTCACCCTGGTCCGACCTATGCTCGAGTTCAGCTGGGACAATGTAAGTTCTCTACAAGTCAGTGAGGAGAACCAGCTGTAGGAATCAACTATTCTGGTAATTTTCAGATTGTAGAACAGGGGTGGGCAATTATTTTTTTCCATGGGGCCACATGAGAAACAGAAAATATTGTGGAGGGCCAGGCCAGAACACTTAACTCATTTCTCCATAGTATTAATAGTATTTCTTTATAAAAGTAGTAAATAGCATTGTTTTGACGGGCTGGTAAGAGTTTCTGTTATGACTAAGCAATGAAAAAGTGAGACTGCCTTACAAAAAATGTCATTTAAAACAAACACCTCTAAAATAAAAGCAGTGCAGCTTTAGTCTATGCATGAGGTAAAATGATAAAATATGTTTATTTTGTCATTTCAAATTATTTTAAACTGCTGGTCAGAGTCATTCAAAGGGCCATATGTTTCCCAGGAGCTGTACAATGCCCAGGTCTGATCTAAAATGTGATGCCATGCTGCCAAATGCGGGGAAAGGGCCAGATTTACCAGCTGATCACATTGTACTTGTTGAACCCAGTATTTTCAATTACTGACTAAACTCGGGAACTCACTGTATATTACTCAGTGTATGTATATAATTTTGCATTTTAACCATTTTAATTTTTGCTGGTCCAATCTGCATTAATAAATATTGTCCTATAAAATGCTGTGATGTCATCTGAAAGTCAGCGATAGGGATTCTAAAGCTGTTGTTACCCCTTAATGCCTGAATTTTTATAAATGTATATATATATATATATATATATATATATATATATATATATATATATATATATATATATATATATATATATATATATATATATATATAATATGTTTTGTGTGTGTTTTTGCCTTCAAGTAGATGGTAAATTAAGTTGAGATGAATCATTTCACTATAGCAAAAAAATAAATCAAAATGTGGGTATGCTGCAAATTTGCTACAACTAGAAACAAATACTTGCCAAAGGTTCCTGCATATGCATTAATCGGCACTGGGGGAATGCAGCTGCTATCTCATCTTATATCTTGATGCGAAACGGTTTGTCGCATATTTGTGACACTAGGCATTAAGGGGCTATAGGTGTAGTACATAACTTTCTGTTGGAGGGTCTGTCACCTGCTTGTCTCCAAGGAGAGTTATAGTTTTGCCTGGAATCTTTCACAGTACTTTGACATGTTCAGCTGATTTAAACAGATTTTGACGATGTCTTCCTACTTGGAGCCCCAAAGTGTAAATCAGGATGGGGGGGCATACCAACTTTGTACACCTGAGAAACAGTTCTGAAGAAATGTATCCCAGGTGTAACGTCCTACTGCTCCAAGTAGGAGGACAGCTTCAAAATCTATTTAAATCAGCTGAACAGACATTTCACCATGTCACATCTGAGCAAGGCAGCAAAAACATGACACAAATATACAGCTCTGACTGTAAGAATCTTAATTATTATAAAATAAACTTAAATGCGATAGTGTTGATATTTTTCCTTTTATTATTATTTACATGTTTCATATGAAGAATGGTTGCATGTGAGAGGATGAAAGTAATAGTACGGAAATTGCAATTTGTACTTGCAGTCTTGTCTTGTCTTTATATAATTAAGAAATTCTAACCGGTTTTCCCTGGTTTTCATCTTAATACCGGGTTAGGGTTTTCACATTACCATAAATTAAAGTTATGTCCTGTCCCCTTGAGTAATTATCTAATAGCCATGATCACACATTTTGTTACCATGCAATTTCCATCCTATTACCATCTGTTACTGAGCTGTATTCTTGTCAAACATAATAGATCTTGTAAAATGTTTTCTTTTATGCCTGTAGATCTACACTCATCTAAACAATGTATTTGAGCTGCTGTCCAAAGCCGTGGTGGAAAGCAAACAGAAGGTAAACATCCCCAAACTGAGTAAAGAGGAGCCAGAGGAGAAGGAAGAGAACGAGAAAGCCAAGAGGGAGGAGGAGAGAGGTACTGGTCACACAACATCTACCACTGTACTTTTAGATTCGACGGTTTATGTATTGGATCAAATGGAGAGGTGCATGAGCTGAAGATAGTAGTTCTGGTAATTTTGTTTTTAACATGATTGGCTAAATGTTTTATATAAATAATTGGTGTCTGGCTGTCTGTGTAATCCCTCAATTCATAAAAAATAAGACATATGCGTATGTCTGTCAAAAAGTGACCATATTTATCTTGCTCCATTTTGTTGACATATTAGATACAAAATAAATTACAGGGTGCATTTTGGATAGCTTCATCCATCCATTTTCTTTCACTTAGTCTAAGCAGGGACTCCCTGACTTCCTCCACCCCAGACATGTCCAGCTCCTCCGGGGGGACCCCAAGGCGTTCCCAGGCCAGCAGAGAGACACAGTTCCTCCAGCTTGTCCTGGGTCTTCCCCGGGCCTCCTTCTGGTGGCACATGCCCAGAACACCTCCTGAATGAGGCACCCAGGAGGTGACTGAGCCCCTCACCCTATCTGTAAGGGAGCCCCAGCTTTGAGATCTTGTTCTTTTGGTCATTACCCAAAGCTCATGACCATAGGTGAGGGGAGGAATGTAGATTGATCAGTAAATCAAGAGCTTTGCCTTTTGGCTCAGCTCCCTCTTCACCACAACGGTTCAATACAGCGACTGCATCACTGCCGACCCTGCACCGATCCGCCTGTCAATTTCACGCTCCCTCCTCCTCTCACTCGTGAACAAGACCCCGAGATATTTTGGATACGTTTTTTAGGATTTGAGTCAACTAGATTTTACTGAAATTTGGAATGCATTTTCAATATTGCAATTGTTTTTGTAAAAACTCACTCAAATTATTCTTATAATCTGATATAAACAAATCCTTCAGTGCTATCGATCAAAATCTTGATTAGTACAGGACTGCAAAGTTTGGTACATATAGGTGCTACTTTAGGGGATCATCTTTATGTTCCTTTATGTTCCTACATGAAAAAACTGCCTTTGGAGTTACAATGTCCCACATACATATATTTATGGATGTAAGTTCTAGGGTTAGATCCAAACAGCAAAAAGATTAGTTAGCCTCTCCTTTACCAGAGCTGTGCCAGAACTGAAGAAGCTAGATGGGTGAGTGGCGAAACAAAACCAAAAAAGTAGTGTTGATAGAATTCAAACTTATTGTTATTCATTGATTAAAAATACATTCAGAAACAATCTCATTCACACTGCAACTTCACCATCTTCTGACAAATGTTTGAAATACCTTACCCACAATGGCATAAATGACCTGCAGACACATTCTCAGACAGTATTCTCAGCAGAGTCTAAGGCGGTGGAGGAGATGAAGGGCACAGATCAGGAGTACAGCAGCGCCCTGACCCAGTACAACAGCTCGGCTAACTCTGGAGGAGAGGACATCGAGCTGCTGGCCTTCCAGACAGTCACCGGTCAGTATTTAAAGAAGAAATGTTGTGCTTTTTGGGAGGTTTTACTTTGAAACTATAACACACATGGATCGTTGTTTTACATATTCTTCTCTGTAAAGTAGCATATTGATCTAATGCATTTGTTTTCCTGTAGAAGTCAGAGCTGGTAAAGGCATTTCACAGCAAGCAGCAGATTTTTATTCACGTTTTTTATTGTTGAACCTTTGCAGTGGGCGGGGATAGGGGGTAGGTGCAGAAAAGTATCAAGACCAAGTGATTTCAGTGTAATATGAATGTAATGTAATATGACATTCTTTGCAAACTCTATTTACATTTAAGTATGAGTAACAAAGGGTACAAAGGACATTTTAAAGCATGTCTGGCCAGTAAAATCGTGACAATTTAGCAAACTGAGTAGATGATTCAAATTGGGGTATGACAAAGTTATTTCATTGACTTCTTTATTTGTGTGATTAGGCAAATGCAGCGAGACCATCTTCGAGGACATGAGGGAGCCTCCGAAGAAGCCTCTGCACCTGAAGGGACAAATGAAGTATGTCCCCCAGTGGGACTCCCTCATCTTCCTGGGGACACCAATGTAAGGACACCAGAGAAACACAGTCACATTTTAAGCTTTCAGTGAACAAAATAAAGGTGTTGTGGTTTATTTTTGTTAGTCTAATCAAGGAATTCAGACCAGTAACATTATGGTTAATAGGTTATGATTACAGAATTAGCTCTATGTATGTCATGTGTGCCCATGTCCACCCTGGAAGTAAAAGGTTAAACTTATGAATTATAAAAAATACACTACCGGTCAAAAGTTTTAGAACACCCTAATTTTCCCAGTTATTTGTTGCAATTCAAGTCGTGCAAGTCCAATGAAGAGCTTGAAATGGTACCAAGGTAAGTACTGAACAGACAGACGTTAAAAAAAAGATAAAAGAACAAAACACAAGTCCAAGCTCTGCCAAAACTACCTCAGGAAAAAAGAACATGATGGTAAAGCTTCAAAACATGGACTGTCCATGTCCTGTCTCCAGACTTAAACCCCATCGAGCTGGTTTGGGATGAACTGGACAGAAGAGTGAAGCAACCTACAAGTGCCACACATTTTTGGGAACAGACTCGGAAAGAACTCTCTGAAGAATATTTGATTTCTGTTGTAAAAAAGAATGAGCCACGAGTGTGTTCAGCTGTTATATCTGCCAAAGGTGGACACTTTCATCAATCAAAAGTTTAGAATACGTTTTGGTCAACAGGAAACAGGAAACTTTTGACCCGTAGTGTACAAAAAGATATTCCTACTAAACCCTTTAATATAATTATCTTAAATACGGTTAGTAGACTTATTATTTGCTCTATACAGTCTCAGTCAAAATCCCACAGACATGAGAAATGTGTCCTTTCAGTTTCAGTGGTGTGATAGGTTAGATTCTTCCTCACAAAAGTTTTTTAGTGCTCCCAAATGTTACTTTCAATATCACCACATGTGTTTTGGGTCAGAGCTTTTCTTCTGAGAAAGGATAAGATCTACTTTCTTTCTCTCACATTTGACTCTTTGGACCCAGCACACAGACTCAACACTATTGGATATGTGTGTCTCTGTGTACAAAGCAACTACCCTATTTTTCTGACTATAAGTCCCTCCGAAGTATAAGTCGTACCAGCCAAAAAATGCGTAATGAAGAAGAAAAAAACATATATAAGTTGCACCAGCCTATAGGTTGACCTTTTTTGGGGAAATTTATTTTATAAAATCAGAGACCAGCTGTCGTAAGACTCATCATCAGTTTCAGAATTATTCCGGCCTTTCTGAATCCTGACAGGATGGTTTAGCTTGTCACTGAAGTCCAGGTCCTCCAAACTTTCTTTCTACTGCTTAATTACCGTTTTCGGCTGCATATTTCACTACTTGCAGCTTGTAATCTGCAAATATGATTTTCTTTTTGGGGGCATTTGTGTTGAGTCTTCTCAGTTGTCTTAATAAGTTTGTTTAAATTTCCAGTGGTACAGAAGTAAGAGTACTCTATCTGCAGGAGACATGCGCAGTAGAGGAAAGTGACAGTGGTACAGGAGTAATAGGAGCAGCAGATACTGACACACAAGACTAGAGCCTCTCGTGGCTTCAGTGTGAAAATTTTAATATACAATTCACGCCGGAGTATAAGTTGCAGGAAACACCCAAACCATGAAAAAAAGTGCGACTTATAGTCCGAAAAATACGGTACTAAGCAACTTTAGAATGGTCAGCCCAATATGTATTTATTTGTTTGTTAGGGACAATGCAAATTACTGAACATCTGTAATTACAGTGTAAATCTGCCATTATACCAAAGATGCAAATTTCATTCCTATAAAATGATATCAAATGCTCATGGAGTCAGTTAAGGTGCTGTATAAATGCAGTAGTTTCAATTAAATTCCCATTCATTGTGTTTTTACAAAGACCAAAATCACAACACAGTCACAGGGCTTCACGAAATTGTAGATTTTGTGTGCTGAAAGGTAGAAAACCAAACAGTGAAACAGTCATTGGTCAATAAAAAACGCATGATTAACCAACGTTCACAGGAAACAAATTAATACACAACTGCCCCAGAGCGCCCCCTGTCTTCATAACTTCCTTCTCTGCAAAGAAAAAATCCATGCTGTGTTTGTATTTTAGTGTTGAGACAGTTACAAAATTGTGGATTTAACCAAAAGAAAGGTAGAAAACCAAACAGTGAAACAGTCATTGATCAATAAAAGATGCATGATTAACCAACGTTCACATAAAACAATCTAATGCCTAACTGCCCCAGAGCGCCACCTGTCTTTAAAACTTCCTTCTTCAGGAAACTAATAGATTTTTTGTGCTGTGTTTGTGTTTCAGTATTGAGACGGTGGAGGACATGATAAAGATGGGCGTTTACGTGAACGATCTGAACCTGCACGACTCCAGCAGAGAGCTCATTCTGGCTGGAACACAGCAGTCGGCCGAGCTGCAGCTGGCTCTCGATCAGGTAAACACTGACACCGAGGGCTCTGGTTCAATTACAGTGCATTATATAGGCTGTTCCGAGCACTAATGTATTGTGGGAAAAAACAGAAAATTGTACTAATGGATAGGAAACATGATAAAGACATACAGGAGCAAAAGTATATGTGTTTTGTTTCATTCACGCATGTTTAAGTAATCTTTTGTTATTATTCTGTCTACATCTCCAAAACTCAAAACGCTCTGTTGCACCTTGTGATGTCATGAAGCAATGTTTGTTCAGTAGAGATAGGCCATTCTAGGGCTAAAATTATCCAAATGATTCTAGTCAAGGTGTCTGGAGTTTAAAAACATATTGGTAAATGGTAAATGGTCACATTTTTATGCAGCACTTTTCCACCTTCAAGGCACTCAAAGCTCTTTACAACAAGGAACCACTCACCCATTCACACATACATTCAAACACCAGCGTACACAGACACTGGAGGGTGAGGTGGGTTAAGTGTCTTGCCCAAGGACACAAAGACAACATTCATCTGTGGGAACTGGAATCGAGCCGCCAACCTGTGGGTCAGTGGATTTGACCGCTCAAAAATTGATGTTTATGTCGAGATAGTGGACACAACACTCTACCAACTGAGCTACTGCCGCCCCAGTGGAGCACTTCCTGCATGACATCACAAGGTGGAACAATGTGTTTTAAGTTTGAGAGAAGAACTCAGGCTAAATATGCAGGGTTTGTTTGTTAAACAAGTGTGAATGAAACAAAACACAACTACTCATATGTTTTCAACGAGGAAACATTATAACATAGAAGAGAAAATAGCGTAATATGAGTATACGAGAGTATGAGTATACCTTTATTTAGCAATTTCTTCACATGTTCAAGACATACAAAGGAATCGAAATTGGACCCGTCACCCCATCCATACATTTACGAACACATTTACATGGGAATATGCACATTTACATGGGAGTACAGGACATGGACCAAACAGGAAGACAGGTAGCAGAGGGAGAAAACAATGCAGCATAACATGAGGATAGGAGGGAGGAGAAAGAAAAAAAGAGGACAGTCCCCAGACCATGCTCCTTAACTGGGGCATAGTATGGAACCAGTACACACACACACAAAAAACACCTCCTCAACATCCATCCATCCATTGTCTTCCGCTTATCTGGGGCCGGGTCACGAGGGCAGCAGTCTAAGCAGGGACTCCCAGACTTCCTTCACCCTGAACACTTCCTCCAGCACCCCAAGGCGTTCCCAGGCCAGCTGAGAGACATAGTCCCTCCAGCAACATCAGCACATAATCAAAACACAGTACAGACATAATGACTAGACTTGCAACCGGGTAGGATAGTGGCCCTTTAAGAGTGGAGAGTGTGATAAAGGGAAGTTATATACCATACTTATAGCACTGCTGGTTGTTAGCAAGAAATACAGCAGAGTGAAGGCAATTTGTGTGATAAAATTCAGAACACACACTTCTCAAATAACTTATTAAATATCCTAGGGGACTGACCCTTTTCTAAAAATGTGGCGTCTTTTCTATCCTTACAAATCAGGACTAAGTTGCTTTGACTTGTCCCCCATGCATATACAGAGGGTAGGATATCCAAACATTTTAAAGGAACAGTCCGTAATTTTGGACATAAGGCCTATTAGCCAGAGTGTTGGAGACGTGTGGAGAAGTAAAACCAACCTTGCATTTGAAAGATTTACGTATGAGCAGCAGCAGCAACAACTCATACTTCCTGATAGAAAGCTTGGCAGTGGCAGGCTGATATCACCTAGCACCTATCTTACCAGCAAAGTAAAATTCCGCTACTGCTGAGAAAATAGTCCCTCAACATGCGACGATTCATGCGATGCAAGGTTAGTTTTATTTCAAACATTATTCTATCAACACAGACATTTAAATCGACAGTCTGGTGTAATAATAGATTTGCTTCGGGTGATTTGTGGAGTGGGTAAGACTGTTTTTAGTGACAGGCTAACTATGGCCATTGACATGCACTAGCCTAGCACCAGCGACCTCTGCAAATACAAGGACTGGATGGAATATTTTTAAAAAAAGTGTCTCTACACATTTCCAACACTCTGGTTCACTAGGAAATGAGGTCCTATGTCCAAAATTCTGGACAGTCCCTTCAACACTGCACATTTTGTGAATAACTATTATGTTAGGAGTTGAGAAAAATATATTGTAGCAAGGTAATAAAAGTATGCTACGCTAAAACTGATGCATCCTGTCATACATCATTCTGTACTGAAGGACCTGTATGCATTTTTTTATTATTTTTTTTTGTTTTCAGGTTTTTATAATCAGGTATTTGAGCAAAACTCATCTCGTGCCAGTACAGATGTTTTGTATAAGCAGCTCTTGAGGTCAAAAATAAGTCTGCTGTGTATTGTCTGTATCTAATTATGAACAGTTTTATTGTCTGATAATGAGGAAGTGCACTATTAGCTTGCTAGTTGTTCCTTGTCTGATCTGGAAGTTGTAAAACGCACTCATAAACTCATCACAGTGCATTATTAGAACGCTCAGAACGCATAAGTTAAGTGAGGAATAACTTTGGAGACCTGTAAACTGTTTTCAAATGAACAAGTTTGGCTTTTCACATTTTTAAGACAGTAAATATCTGGTACATCGCTTTTAAATAACAAGTACAAGTGGAGTGTCTGGGGCATACACAGAGCAGCAGAGTAAGCTCTATATAAAATAGTGCATCCAGGCGAGGCCAAGGTAAAAGTAGGTTTTTCAGCAGAGTAGCAGAGATTAGGAGGATTAGAGCCGCCATTCAGCCACTGTTCAGCCTTAACCTCAGTGTGCCCGTAAATGTCTGTATCCTATTTCTCTCAGGAGCAGAGGGGAAGAAAAAGTGCCAAAAAGTGTACACAAGCAAAAGTAGCATTGTAAAAGAATGATAGAACTCAAGATGAAGAAAAAAAAAAAAAAAAAAGCAAAGCTAAATATAAGTATTAGTATTTGTGTTATTAGACTTAGACAAGCTTTGTTGATCCCCGAGGGAAATTAGTTGGACACAGTAGCTCACACTATATATATATATATATATATATATATATATATATATATATATATATATATATATATATATATATATATATATATATATATATATATATATATATATATATATAACAAAGAGCAAGTAAGTAGCACACATAGCAAGAGACTGGTGACAAATGAGGCATAATTATAAATGTATACACTACCAGTCAAAAGTTTTAGAATACAACACTGCTTTTCCTGCTTTTCCCAAATCGTATTCTAAACTTTTGACTCATGAATGTAGCCACCTTTGGCAGATATAACACACACACTCATGGCTCGTTCTTTTTACAGTAGAAATCAAATATTCTTCAGAAAGTTCTTCCCAAGTCTATTGCAGAAGTACCCATAAATGTGTGGCACTTGTAGGTTGCTTCACTCTTCTTTTCCGTTCATCCCAAACCAGCTCCAAGGGGTTTAAGTCTGGAGACTGAGCTGGACACTCCATGTTTTCAAGTTTAACATCTTGTTAGGTAGTTTTGGCAGAGCTTGGACTTGTGTTTTGTATCTTTAATCTTTTTTTTTAACCTCTGGCTGTTCAGTTCTTACCTTTGTACCATTTTAAGGTCTTCATTGGACTTGCACGACTTGAATTGCAATAAATAACTGGAAAATGTAATGTTTAAATGAATGTTCTAAAACTTTTGACCAGTAGTGCATGTACAAGTCAGAAAAAATATAGAAATATAGTAGTACAAATCTATTTCAGCTATATATAAGAGGTTGTAAGGAGAAACAGTGCAAAGATGAAATCATGATTGACAGGACATAAGGTAACTTGTTGTACAGTTGTTATTATAATAATAATATTACATTTTAAAAAATCTGAAATAAAATAATACATTTGACAGAATAATGTTAATCTCTCATGTGGAGGTGGATCGCTCATCTGCTTCTCTATGCACATGTTGACTGGAATGTTCCACAGTATGACATTACACTATGATCTCTATGGAGACAACAGGTGACACCACAGGGCTAAGCTACATGTCAGATCTGTGGAAAGGTGAGCCCACTCACAGTAAGAATGGACGTTTTTAGGTCAATAAAAAACTTATGTTAATGAGTTAATGCAAGATGGACATGTTTAATGTCATGTCGGGACATTCCAGACAAAGCAATAACAGCTCCATATAGACAAACACATGGTGGACACTACGCCCGAAAAGTTACACAGCTTATCTTATTTCACTACTATACACTAAATGTATTCAAGATTCAACTCAAGTCAAAGTGACAAAAATACAAAACCACGTTAATTTTGTTTCCCTCTCTGCCTGATTTAGGAGCAGCAAAAGTACGCCCAGCTACAAGAGATCATCAAGAAACTGGACGAGGAGAAGAAGAGGGGAGACTCTCTGCTCTACGCCATGATCCCCAAAGCTGTGGCCGACCGCCTGCGGAAGGGCATCACAGCGCTGGAGACATGTCAGGTACAGTTCCTCTGTGCATTCTGTGGGTATGGAGGTGGACTCTGAACAGACCATTTTACATGTTGTTCATTGTAAATTGCAATATTGATCTAAAAAGGCTTAAGAAGAAGAAGCTAATAATTGAGTTCCTGTTCATAACAACCATGATATAGTAGTGACATCCGTTCATGTTTTTACTGCTGAAAAACTGCTAGGTGCTTCAGTGAGGCTTCCTCCATCAGCACAGAGGGGGGAGGCAGGTCAGACTGATATGTGTACAACTCTGAATTCAGTTCTGCACATTTTGATGACGTTGAGTCTCGCTGAAAATGATCATGCCCTTCAAATGAATACTTGAAGCTGATTGGTCAGTTTTTTTTGTTTTTTTTTAATGCTGTTAGGATGTTGCTGTTGCTGATGTTGTTGATGCTTTAATTTGTACAGGGACAGTGCACAACAATACATCAACCATGACAAAAGTCATAAGAGAGACGGTGCCTAGCCAGGCTGGCGCCACCTAGTGCCTCTGCTCAATTTCATTTCTCTCCCGCGACTAGGTCAGGAATCACAACAAGAACCCCAGAAGTGTGAGTTTGGGCACCAGCCATTTCCTGAGATCAAGGATTTAAAGCCGGAACAAAGAGAATGCTTGGTGAATTTTATCAAGGGGAAGATGTTATTGCCCTTCTTCCTACGGGATTTGGGAAAAACTTAATATATTAGTTAGCCCTCTTAGTGGGGCATTACATATGTCACGACCAAATAGCAGCGATTAGTTAAGTAAAAAAAAGTACCCGCCTACTGTCGAGTGAATGAATCCTAATGCTGAGAGGTCAGACGATTTCCACAAAGTGAAACTGGCTGATGAATCAGGCTAGGTGATGCCAGGTTATAGCATGAAATACGTCTACTCAATTATGGAAAAAATCATTATCACGATTATTCTATTATTTTATTATGCTATTAATATATTATTATATTATTGAAATCATGATTATTCAAACGATTATTGTTAGTTACACGATGCATTTATTGCATTTATGTACCTAGAGCAGTTTTGTGATGTATAAAACATAAAATGAATAAAATGTACTTTGAACATGAAATAAGGCATACAAAAACATAAATGTATCCAAATAAACTATAGATCCAGCTGTTCTACAGTCTCTATATTTAAAAATAAAATAAATATACTTATTTATATAAAAAATATCCCAAAATATACGTTGTTAAGCTTTATCATTTCAACTTGATTATATGAGTTTGGTGATCGTTTACACACAAACTGAAATCGTGATTAAAATTTGATAAATTGCACAGCCTTGGCATGAAATACTCAAAATCCACAATGCTCTTCCCTCTGCACATTTAAAAAAAATAATAATGTGGAGTACGAAGGGCGGTGTTGAATAGTGTTTTTTTTGGTTCAGTTGGGCGCTTCACTTTTGAACAATGCTTCTCTTTGATTGGACAAGTCTTTGCCCCGACAATGGCTGGTCCCAATCGTACCAGCGGGAGTCTGCCAAGATGGATTCTTTTGAGCTTGTGAACACACATCACAAAAATTCATCTTGTTGTGCAAAGTTCGGAGAGAGAAGCACCCCTGACTGATGCCCTGACCTTCACCCAGCTCTATCTATCTTATCAGTCGGTCTATCCCGCCCCCGGTTGGAACTCACCGCTGTAAAGTGACCATCATTCCACTTTGACTCTGAACCCCCTCTCCTCCTCTTTGGTCCTCCCCCCAGGTGTTCCCAGACGTGACCATCCTGTTTAGCGACGTGGTGAAGTTCAATGAGATCTGCATCCACATCACGCCCATGCAGGTGGTGGACATGCTCAACGAGATCTACATCGTCTTCGACACTCTGAGCGAGAAACACAACGTCTACAAGGTCAGGCTCCAAACAGAGAAAACACACAACGCCACAGTCATAAAACAGCAGCCAAACACTTCTATGCATATTTATGGGCCCACAAAGACGGTAGCTGATAGCGGAAAATTACATATCGCATAAGACTCCCCCGGGACCCGGAAAGAACAGGAATAAAGCAAGCAGTAATGGAGCATGGGACAGATAAAATTGCGGCAATATAAAAACGACGGGGAAAATAATGCATTGTAAAAAGGCTATATGTAAAAAGGGTTGTGTAAAAGATAGTTTTATGGGTTTAAAATATGCACAAAGAGACAACTATATTCATAGCAAATACCAGGAGATGCAGAATACCTTTGTTATTGGCCAAGTCCTGCTGTGTTTAAAATGCAGATGCTATGATATCTGCCAAGGTTATAACAGTAGTGCTTTGTCTAAAAAGACTGTTTATGTGGCAAGTTTAACATTTTGGAGCAAATAGAAGTGTTATTTTCGGTGGGAGATTGGGACGAATGTTCAGACGAGTTTAAAAGGGAGAACAGATTGCGGAAGAGTGGCAGGAGAAAAACAATAACACCTATATTATAACCAGCCAATTCAATTTTGTGTGCCTGCAGATGTTATGATGAATCTAACGATAGGAAGATTAAATAAAGATTGAATAATTACTTTTACCCATGCAAACAATTGAAAAAATCCATTGCTAGCTATGCACTGAGTTCTCACAAGGCTTAAAAGTTTTGGCAGACTTTTTCCTTTTTGTAGAAGGTTTATAGCAATACTGTGAAGCATTCCAGTCAAAGTAATAGTGGAGATAAGCGAGTGTCACTTGGGATGGACGATAGATTGGTTATAAATATATATTGCTGTCTGCCACACTTTTTTTGTTTGTTTTGTTTTTGCAGTACTTTTTTTTTTTCAAATCCCTGTAGGGAAATTGTCCTCTGCATTTCACCCATCCTTTCAGATGCAGTGGGCAGCACATGGGACACCCAGGGGCCCATCTCCATGATTTTCTTGCTAGGCATGGACAGGACTGCCTTAGCTGGAGGATTTTAGCTATGGTGCATGTTTTTAAATTGATGTTGGAAACCAGAGTGCCCGGAGGAAACAAACGGAGATACTGGGAGAACATGTTGATACAAAGCCTCATTACTGATATTTTGTTAGTTGTTTCCCAGGGATGTAACAATAACCGTAATATCGTGATATCATCCCGACAAAAGTCTCACAATAATATCCTCTGCTGTCACAATATATCGAATCACAAGTTCCTCTGCTTAAATGCATGGTTTCATAGTAGCAACACCTAATAAACATCAGGAACTACAAATCCCATGATTCATTTCAGTGCAAACGCCATGAAGAAATATGTTTTTTACTTGAATTCTTAGGATTATGACAGTAATCTCTTACACCAAAATTTTGTCAAGATATTTTAAAAGCAAAAAATGTCCTATCTACAATTATATTAGCCTCTTCAAAATATCGCAATAAATATCGTACCGTGAGATGCATATTGTGATAATATCGTACTGTGAGATTCGGATATCGTTACATCCCTGTTGCTTCCCCATTCTCTGTGTGCTCTTTGTGAACAGACTCATGAGTAACAATGGACGTAGAAGAATATGGATGTATGTCTCATTTAACATGTAACTACATGATTTAAATAGCAGTAAATTATATTTAGTTGTTATTTTTACAAAAATATAATGAAAAATTTATTTGTGAACTCTATTTCAAGTTAAGATACATTTTTGGGCCTTACTATGGAGTCTACAAAATAAATATTGATATCCACAAATATCAGTCATTGGCCACAGCTGCCGGGCAAGTATCAACATTGGTATCAGCTGAAAAAATAAAAAATTTAAAAATCCATACACGGTTCCTACAGACATGGAAATCCTGGAAAAGTCATGGAAATTGAAAATGTCATTTTCCATGGCAGGAAAAGTCACGGAATTTGTAAATTCATTGAAAGTTTTGAAAAGTATTTTAGTATCTCTTTCACGCAACTATAGAGTTCTGAGGCTGTTATGTTCATTTCTGAGCATATGCACTTTTTGTTTAAAAGAGACGACAATAAATGCACTGACAGTATTCTGAATGTTAAAAAACTATAATACCAAAGCCTGAAAGTCTGATCAATTCTATACATGTAGGGTGCCGTAAAGTCATGGAAATTGCACTTAAATTCATGAAAAAGTCATGGAAAAGTTTTGAAATTTTGTCAGTGAAAAAGAGTGGGAACCTTCTCCATAAGAGTCCATCCCTAAGTGCCACCCCTGCTAGAAATGTTTCACAGTGCGTCTTTAACTATCTGACCTATTTCCCACGCGTAGGTTGAGACGATTCGTGACGCCTACATGGTGGTGGCCGGCGTTCCCAATAAGACCACGTTCCACGCCCACCACATCTGTGACATGGCCCTGGACATGCTCAGCTCCATCGACCACCTCAAAGACCCCTCCACCGGGGACAACATCCAGATCCGAGTGGGTACGTACTGCACAACAGATCATGTCCTTTATTGGTGGTTTTCAGATTCTAAAATGTGATGGCGTCATTCTTTCAGGTAGAGAGGAAAGAGACAGATTTCCATACTGATAACATTGTACTTTGCTATGATTTATTCTTTTTATCAGAAAAAAAAACAAAGAAACTCTGATGTACTGGGCTGATTTTCGTACCAAAGAGATAATTTCCACTCCAAAATGGCCAGACATTTTGGCGCCATCTGCATTCACAAAACTCGACTTTAAATCAAACAGGTCTCAGCGTGTAGCTTTTATCTGTGACAATAAAGCACTACAGTTATCTTAGTTTCATTTTAGCCTTGTGTAAATCCAAACATACCTCCAACGTGTCTCCGTCTTTAGCCAAAAACAGTTGTAATCCAGTCAGTTTTGTCCATTATGTGACTGATAATTATATTGGTCAAACATGTGCTTTAAAATAGTTTATTTACAGTCCTCACTGCACAGTTTAGTCACTAGCGCCACCTGCTGCTGTGGATGAGTATTGTGTTGCTGGTTGCTTGAGGTCAGATTGGTAAGAATGAGCCTTTTACACAGGTTAGTGAGTTACTTTTTTTTTTTTTTTTTTGACTGAAGAGTAACATGCACTCAGTTGCTGCCATATCTAATTGCTAAACAATTATATCTCAACTCATATTATCAGTATTAAATCTTAATACATTTTTTGCTGATTTTGAGTTTTGTGCCTCTTATATTAAAGGTCATATATTACACAAAATGTACTCTTGTAAACTTTTAGCTATGTTATAATTTCATTCACATGTGTTTGAGTAATTCTTTATTATTAGTCTGTCTACATCTCCAAAGCTCTTAATGCTCTGTTCTACCTTGTGATATCATGAAGTAGTACCTTTCCTTTCTGTTTAGAGATTGGCAGTTCCAGGGCTGAAATTATCCAAATGATTATAGTGAAGGTGTATGGAGTTTAAAAACACAGTGGAGCACTTCATATTATTAATGTAATTTCCTCACTATAAGCTGCTACTTTTTTCTCACACTTTGAATAAAACGATGGTTAATATATGGATGGATTCTTTGTTTGGCACATTGTCCGTTCATATATACGGTCTGTGGTTTGACAACACAGAAAGTGCTGCTGTCTGTGCAGGTAACACATGGATTTAGGGTTAACATGAGGGGGCAGCGTTTGCTAGTGATGTTCAGCACACTAAGTTTATCAACAGTTTATCATCGAGTGATAAAATAAATTATGATGCTAAACTAACATGAGTGAGGGGGATATGTCTTACCTGTATGCGTTTAAATGCAAGGAAATTTGTAACTGATGAAGAAACATCTCAAACTTCAGTAGCTGGACATCCACTCATACCTGATTGATACGGCAAGCCTTACCCATGGGACAGCTGAAATCTGCTGCAATCCTCCACGACACTGACTTTCAGAGGCAATAAAAGCAGACGGCCGAACTTGAAAACATTCTTGAAGACATGAACACTTGCGGCTTTTATTCAGTTGGGGCCTATATATTGTTAACTCGGTCTCTGGAAAAATGACGCTGGAATCGATCGATTGAAATCACAAAAAATGTATTTCCTATTCAATACAATTCTAATACAGAGCTCAGGGTCACATCACTGTCCCAGATGGCCTACAGCTACACAGGACTTAAATCAGGCGCTCTGACTGCCTGTGTTTCCCTCAACCCAGTAATATAAAACATCAGCATGAATATTCAAATATATGTTGAGCAGGTACATGCCTTGGATCCTCCCTGAAGCATCTCCGTTTTCCTTTACTATGAGGGGATGACAGCCAGGTTTAAATTACAGCCAAGTCTATTTAGGCTTGGTGCCAGCCAAAACGACTAAACTGCAACCGCTCTGTAAAGAATTTCCTTAAAAGTACACAACCTTCACAGCAGTATCTTTAAACATATATATCAGATTTCAGTGGTTAAGCACCAACTCATTGTGTAATATTCAAACAAATGTATAATTGCAGTATTTAATATACGCATGCAGTACACTCACGATACTGTATTACTCGATATAGTCTTCAATATGTACAATTTTAAAATGTTGTTAAAATTATTTGATGGGGCTTATATTCAGGTGTGGTCAACAGTCTGGAAATTGAAGTGTTTTCCTCTTAAATATGTAGAAATTGTGTGTGAATATATGTGAATATGTGTGAATGAAACAAAACACAGCTCCAGGTATGTTTTTGATGAGGTAAAACATTATAACACAGAAAAAAAATGAATATAGGCCTTTTAATAATCTGCCTCTCATAATTAAGTCATAATATCTCTGCAAAGCCACTGTAACTGAGCTAACTGCCCAGTGTGACCTATGCGTGACCATGTGTGTCCCTGACTGGCTAATCCACCTGTCAATCACGACCATCTGAATTTAAAGAGAGTCACCGGTGATCGGACTAGATTTACATTTTCGTAAAACACCGGAGAAGTGTGTATTCTGAATCCCATGCAACCCGTTATTGCTATTAATTGAAAAATCCCACGCTGGACCTCCTCTCTATCCCAGTGTGCATTGGTCCACTGTCAGGTCAGCTCCACATCACTGCGTCTGAACTGCCCGGCTTTACACTCCTGATCCCTTTATCCACTCGCTCCCACTGTAAGGTTAAAGTCAGTGATGTAATCCCATTCTCCTCCAGGTGAGAGTGGAAATTATGAAACCTCTTCAACAGGGCTATAAAATATACAAGGCCGAAGCAGTGGCTCATTTTTAGTGCGAGTTAAGCCCAGTAGTTAGGAGTGGGTAAGTGCAGTTGGTTCTCATAAAAGGGACATTGTTGAAGGCTTAGGTGTCTCTGTATTTGAAGGATTTTCGGCTCAGAGCTATTTAGTTCTATGCCAGGACACGATAGGCTGTAATACAATGAAATGAGTTAAGGTTCGGCCAGAAATGGGGCTGTGCTTGGGAGTCTTGCTGCAGAGATGTTAAATCACTATCACCTTCATAATAAAACATGTTAGAAACTGAACATGAATGTCCCTCAAATTTAGAGTTACCAAATGAAATTCTTCTGATCTAAATTATTAAAGTGCTAACTAAACTGCAGTTATATAATTAACTTTTGAACATCATTACATTTTTGTGATCAATAAAATATGGATACAGATAGTGCCACAAAGAGCCTCCTCATAATACCTACTTTACACAAAAAAGGTATTTACAATAACTTAATGGACACACATTATTTCAAAGTTGTCTTCTCAGAGGACTCAAACATGTTCATTTTGCATTTTGCCTGGGTTGTTGCATCATGGATAAAACTCCAAACTTCTCAAGCTCAGATTTTTATCACGTACGCCCTGTATGGACTCGTTCTGTGATCAAACTGTGTTCATAACAAATGCATGGCTCTAGTAACGTAGCATTCAAGGAGGATAAGGACTTTATTTTATTTTCACAATGTTTCCTGTTGCTGACAGCAGAGAGAGCCCCCACGCTTAATGCCTGCTTGGAAACAGAGTTGTAGTTTCTAAAGTTGTTCAAAATGCAGACATTATTTTACAAAACTTTATTTAGAAATTAGAAAATGTGAAATACTTATCCCAAGGTGACCAAAATCATTTTTAATCAAAAGTCACCTTTAAAGGGTCACTAAACACCAAAATCACAGTTTTTTCCTCTGATTAGCTGAGTAAATGGGTCTAAAATAGACATGTACACCTATTCCTGGTCTTATTTTGGCATTTTCATGCATATTTGTTAAAAATCTGACATTTGGGTCAAAAGCTGTGTCTGTAACGACCTCTTTAGGATCAACTACGGCCACAACATTTGAATTTACATGTTGGACTAACGGCCGCCAATGAGTCAGATGCAGGCTATTACATGATGGGCACAGCCACTGGCGTCTACGGGCAGGACGTGAGGAGCTCCTCTCAGCCCTGCCCCTACCTAACACCGCTGGTCACTGCGATGTCTCACCGTGAGAAAAAGGGAAATATCATGATCTGAGCACAAATGTCTGCTCTGTTTCAAAGTTTGGAGCCAAACGTCATTCAAAGAATCTGGGTTTCCAAACTTGTTCTCCTTACAGACTTTTCAGGGCTTTACAAGAGTTTTTTATGAACTTGCTCGACCTTGTTTTCTGATGTTGATAATGGTCTACCAGCTACTTTAGCCGTGCATAAGCAGCCTTCCTTTTTAAACTCTTGGTTCCATGTCCAAATTTGTTTGCCAGTTGGTGAAGTTTTTCCAAATTTTGCACTGAAGGCACGCTCCACAGTCTTGGGTGACTGTGTGCGAGCAGATTCCAAGATGCAAAATGACTTGAAAATGACTTCTCTTTGGGAGTGAATGGTATGACTCAGCCTGAAAACAGAACAAAAATAAAACATTAAATATAAAATCTTGATCTGTTTCTATACATTCTGTGAAAACTTGATTTTTTTTCAACAAGAATTGCCAAAATGATTGTCCTGCGAAATGATGTCAAAGTTTTTGGGACACCGTGTATCATTGCTGCCTGTGTTTTGCCGTAGGGATCCACTCGGGGATGGTGGTGGCCGGCGTGGTGGGACTGAAGATGCCCCGTTACTGTCTGTTCGGAGACACAGTGAACACGGCTTCGCGGATGGAGAGCAACGGAGTGGTGACTACTCTCCACCGCACCATACGAAGCCCCCCGCCAACGCTCTCATCATTAGCATAGAATAAGATGTGCCGCTAGTGCCTTTTGCTTAATGCTACATGCTAATCACGCCATTTGTTTTTCATTACGCTCGGTAATAGAAGTTTAATGTTGAGTTCTCGGTCCATTCTCGGCTAATTGAAATGGACATGGTTTTCCCAGATTCAATTTATCCAGAATGCAAACTCATGAAAGCCCGGCTCTTTAGTGAATAATAAATGCCGTAGTTTGGTGTGGTTTTTGATGAGTTAGCCTGAACCGCCGCTGCTGTTTTGTATTTGTGTGTGAACAGGGCATGCAGATCCACATCAGCCAGACCACCAAAGACCACCTGGAGCACGAGCCCTACATTATCGAGGAGAGGGGCAAAATATTTGTCAAGGTGAGGTTAAACTGAAGTTGCTGTATCAGATTTTTACTATCTTCAAAAGGGGAAAACAAAACAAATTCATTTAAAAAAGGTTCTTGTGGTCCTAAAGTTATTCCACATACTTAACTTATGCATCCGAGCATTCTAATTATTCACCATGATGAGTTTCTAAGCGTGTTTCACAACTTTTAGAGGCCAGAGCTACATTTGTTAATGACAACTAGCATGCTGACAGCGTGCTTCCTGGTTTGGGGCGGATAAAACATGACTATAATTAGATGCAGACAAGACTTATCGGTCTCATTTTGAGTACAAGAGCTGCCTTTACAGAATCAGTTTTGGCGTCACATTAATGCTAAAAACAACTAGCATGCTAATGTCTGTACCCCTTCATAGTCTAGTGGCTTCAAATCATTTAAAGTAATGTGCCATAGTTTCATTTGCACCTTCATTAAATAATCTAACCCATTTAAAGTCCTGTATTACACAAATGTATTCTTGTGAGCTTTTAGTCATGTTATAATGTTGTTACCTTCATCAAAAACATACCTGGTCACTGCGATGTCTCACTGTGAGAAAAAGGGAAATGGAGTGTTCCAAGCACAAATGTCTGCTCTGTTTCAAATTTGAAGCCAAGCCGTCATTCGAGGAATCTGGGTTTCCAAACTTCTTCTCCTTACAGACTTCTCAGTGCTTCGTAAGAGTTTTTCTCAAACTTGCTCGACCTTGTCTTCTGTTGGTCTACCAGATCCTTTAGCCCTGCATAACCAGCCTTCCTCTTTAAATTTTTGGTACCAAGTCCAAATGTGTTTGCCAGTTGGTGAAGTTTTTCCAAATTTTGCATTGAAGGCACGCTCCACAGTCTTGGGTGACTGTGTGCGAGCAGATTCCAAGATGCAAAATGACTTGAAAATACTTCTCTTTAGGAGTGAACGGCATGACTCAGCCTGAAAACAGAACAAAAATAAACATTAAATATAAAAACTTGATCTGTTTCTATACATTCTGTGAAAATTTGAGTTTTTTTTTCAACAAAATTTGCCAAAATTATTGGTGGGCGAAATGATGCCAATTGGATTTGTTAATACACATGTTAATACTCTGTTCCACTTTATGGTGTTACAAAGCTGTAGTTTTCAATAGAAATTGGCAATTCTAGGGCTGAAATTATCTAAATGATTCTAGTGAAGATGTATGGAGTTTAAAACACATTGCAGCACTTCCTGTATTACCACATGACATCACAAGGTGGAAGTCAGTCAAGAGTGTTTTCAGTTTCAGAGAAGCACTCACCTTAGTATGCAGGATTTGTGTGTTAAACATTTGAATAAAACAAAACACAATTCCAGGTATGTTTGTGATGAGGAAACAACATTCATTAACATTAACATTAAGCATTAAATATATTTTTCTTTAATCTCTATTCATAGTTCAAATTAGGGATGTAACAATTACAGAAATATTGCGATATCGTATCTTCAAAAGTCTCACAATAATATCGTGGGCTGTCACAATATAGTGAACAAAAATATACATTGTACAGTCAGATGGTCGATTCTAGCAAAAACCTTTGTCAGATCATCTCTTTTGCTTTGGATCACAGTGCACTAAATGGCTGCCAGCCCAGGTGCTCATATCTTCCTCCAAAGAAGATCTCCAGTGTGAGATTATAACCTTCCACACTCTATTTTAGCTCAATAAGACTAAATAACAATCTGCTTTACAACCTCTTAGCGATGTATGCCAGTACTAACCAAAATGTATGATCACACTTTAAAGATGCATTGTATAACTTTTCTAGTGGAGGCATTGCTTCGCTTTGGAATGTTTCACAGTATGGGATTAAACCTTTCTATCTTCATGGAGACCAAACCAGACCAAGTAACTGGTCAGATCTGTGGAGAGGCAACCCTGGTCACATTCAGAACGCTTGTTTTTGTAGCTTTTTTGAGCAATAAAACCACCTGTAACTGAATAAATGTAAGGTAGAGCTGTTCATGGGGTGTAGTGGGCGTGGTATATGGGGGTATGTCGGGGTATGTGGGGGTACGTGGGGGTACGCCATCCACGAAACTTCACCCGACATGAGATATAAAAAATAACAAATATAAAATAGCTACAATTTAAATGTCAAATTGGAGTTATTGGCAATGGTGAAAACAACCTGCATAGGCTTATGAAATCTCCAGTACCCTCCTATTGTGACCTGACACATGAGGAGACCAGGACTGAACCAGGACTGAACCAGGACTGAACCAGGACTAAACCAGGACTAAACCAGGACTAAACCAGGACTGAACCAGAACTAAAACAGAACTAAACCCGGATTAAACCAAAATTGAACCAGCAAGTGACAGAACTCCAACAAATAAGTAACACAATGCACCTTTAAGCAAATTGATACGAGCTACTTTTTAATTGCTAAATGGCTAAATATATATATTTTTTATGCCACATCAGGGTAAAGGTTACATGAAGACGTACTGGCTGAAGGGGAAGAAGGACCTGTCCTTTAAGACGCCTGCAGAGCTCCGCTACAGCAGCGAGCAGAAGGAGGAGGACCTGAGCTCCACCGGGTAAAGCATACACACACACGCAGTAGTCCACAAGGACCGCAAGCAAACAACCAATACTGTGTGAGTGGGGACTGGGGTGGACTCACAACGCTCCCTGGTGGTTTTAATGGAGCACTGCTTATTGCGCTTATAGTCTCAGATCATTCACTCAACGGTAAAGACACTATTTTTACATTAAATTAGTGCACGGTACATTTCAGACTTTTTGAAGTTTTAAAAGAACTGGTAAACATATTTTTTATTTAAATATTTAAAGAGGTCAAATGCTCTCTGCTATTTAATTTAAGGGTCCTGTATTACACAAAATTGACTCTTGTGAGCTGTTCGAATGTTGTTATCTTTACAAAAACATACATTGGAGTTGTGTTTTGTTTCATTCACACATGTCTGAGTAACCATTTGGTATTAGCCTGTCTACATCTCTAAATCTCAAAATGCTCTGTTCCACCTTATGATGTCATGAATAGGGATGTGCAAAAATATTGAAATATCGATATGTCGTATAGTTTAATGTGCTGATACCGTATCAATATCATGGTCTGCTGTATTTTTTGGTATATTTCACAAAATTTTTTTGTTACAGTACTACAGTTTTGTCGCTTGTTGAGGATGCAACACATTTGACATTTTCACTGTTTTGATGATTGAAATGTTTGTGTTTCATTTTCACTTTGCACAATACTTGGTTTAACAAGACAGCCATGATTTAGCCTTTATTTTTTATTGAACCGTATCGAATCAATTTGAAATATATCGTATCGTATCGAGAGCTCACTGCATCAAGATATGTATCGTATCGGCAACTCCTTAACGATACCCAACCCTAGTCATGAAGGAGTAGTTTTCAAGTTAAGCTACTTCCTTTAGTTTGTTTTGTTGGGGTTTTTTTTAAAACATTTTATCCAGTAGAGATTGGAATTTCCAGGGCTGTAATCATCCAAATGATTCTAATAAAGAGTGTATAGAGTTTAAAAACACAGTAGAGCACTTTCTGTATCACCACATGACATCAAAAGGTGGGACGGAACAGTGTTTTCAACTCTGGATATGTTTCTGACGAGGAAACAACATTATAACACATCAGAAAATATTGTAATATGGGTAATTTAAAGCTGTACTATGTGACTTTTCCAGTGGCAGATCAAAAGCGTGACATTAAAATGATCCAGCTTGAATATATTCAGTTACATTTGTTTTGCTATAATAAACACCAGACCAAAATACCAAAATATGCGTTCTATCTATTAAACAAAATCAAACTCAAAATCACAATTAGAATGGACGCAATTAGCAAATCACAAAGGCTGTAGTTTTTGTTTTGTCTGAAAAACCTTGATATTTTTTCCTTTTTTTTTTTTTTCCTTTTTGGCTCTAATGACGTGCTTCTTGTGCCCAGAGCCCCAGATCATTTACTACTGGGTGAAGATTTTTAAGTTAAATTAGCGCTACAGAACATCAGTTAGTATTTGAATTTAGAATAATAATATTTAGCTAAGAAGTTTTACTGAACAGATAATTGGTGTGTCTGAAAATAAAGGGCAAAGTAAAAGTAATAATAACAAAAAATATTCCAACCAAAGGCTATAGTATTCAGCTTCAGCGCTTTATTAAGTCCCCCGAGAGGCAATTGTTTCGGAGACAGTGGTAACAATCAATGCATACAACCTCTCAGTCAACAAACCAGACAGTGTACAAGGACACATGCATAAAAATAAGGTAAAAATATAAGTTAAATAGATGCTCTAGAACAACATGGTGCAGCCTTAGTTAAAATCAAAGGTGTTTATATTATAGTGTATTTCAAGGGCCCATATTACACTATTTTCTGATCTATGTTATAATGTTGTTTCCTCATCAAAAACAAACCTGGAGTTGTGTTTTGTTTCATTCTCACATGTTTAACACAGAAATCCTGCATATTTAGGCTGAGTTCTCTCAAAACAGTAGAAATAGTCTGTTCCACCTTGTGATGTCATGTGGTAAAACAGGAAGTGTACACCTTACATCTTTACTAGAGTCATGTGGATCATTTGAGTCCTGGAAATTACAATCTCTACTTGAAAACTACCACTACCTGATATCACAAGGAGGGTCAGAGCATTTTGAGCATTGGAGATATAAACTGGTCCCTCATTTATCGCGGGGGTTACGTTCTAAAAATAACCCATGAACCCCGAAATCTATGAAGTAGTCAGCTTTATTTTTTACAATGATTATATCTGTAAAACCCCTCACCCCACACTTTATACACTTTTCTCAGACAGGACAGTTACAATCCTTCTTAAAACTTATTACTGCTGTTGTCCTTTTGTTATTTTCTTCCTTCTTTATGTAACAAACCAAAGATTAATTTATCCCGTAATGGAGTCTACAGCCACGCAACTTTTCCCTTCCTTCAGCGTGTCCAGAAGTCCAACGTTTTGTGTGCGATGGTTTGCATCTTCTTCTGCCTTTTGAGCCTTTGTCGGTGCAGAATGTTTCATCGACATTGTGGGTTTTGTCGGGGGGAAAATTTGTAAACATACAGCACTTCAGAATCACACTGCTAGAGATCGAACATTTATGTGAATTTGGCAAACTGAACACATTCTGTACTGTACAGGAGACATGGCACAGAGGAGATTGATTGACAATGGTCTACAGTCCCTTAGCCAATCAGGACACAGGGGGAGGAACACAATGCATGTTCATACACTGTAGAAAGAAAAAAAAAGCATGCAAAACTGTACACAAAAAAAAAAAATCTGTGAATGAAAGGTGAACTGCGTGAACTGTAGACAGAATACTAAAAAAGAATTCCTCAATGTGCGTGATTGAAACAAAACACAATTCTGGGTATGTTTTTGATAAGGTACCAACATTCTAACATGGTTAAAATCTCACTAAGAGTCAATTCTGTGTAATTCTTAAAACTTGAAAGGGGTAGGGACAACTATGAATAAATTGGTTATACTTTCTAATAAGTACATCTTAACTTGCCTTAAAGGAGCAGTATGTTATTGTTACTGTCTTAAAAATGCAAAAACAGAACTAGGTCATTTTAAGCAGTTTGCAGTGTTACAAGTTATTCCTCACTTACCTTTACCGAGTGTCCTAACTATTCACCCCTATGAGTTTATACATTTTTTGCAGTGACGGCAAAGCTACAATAACTATCATGTTAATGTGCACCTCCTGATAATCAGAGAATGAAATGCCTAATGAGATGCAAACAGTACACAGCAGACTTATTTTGACCTCAAGAGCTGCTTCTACAATATATCTGTACTGGGGTAAGACAAATACATGCGCTTAAATACACAATAGGAACACAATACATGTTCATACACTTAAAAAAAAAAAACCATGCAAAATTGCTCACACAAAAAAATCCGTGAATCAGCGAGGCCGTGAAAGGTAGACTGCGTTATAGTGAGGGACGACTGTAGATAGAATACTAAGAATGAAACAAAACTGGGTATGTTTTTTGATAAGGTAACAACATTCTAACATGGCTAAAAGCTCACAAAGGGTCAATTTTGTGTGATACTTAAAACTTAAAAAAAAAAAAAAAAAGACTGAATTTCCCAGTCTATTTGTATATAAAGCCCAACGCCACACACATCTATAAAACATGAGACACCAGCAGTGGAGATGGCCAACCTGCTGCATCGACTTAAAGCTGTCCTCGGCCTGGAGCATCTTGGATTAAATGTTAGCTGTCAACAACAGGCCCCATTCTGGAGGCACTCCACACTGTCAGCACCGCTCCCACAATGCTTTGCACTGCCAACGCGTCCATCCCATCAAGGAGAGGGCCCTCGGATGCCCTCAAGTCCCATCCCATTTAGACAGGACTGTTTGTATCTGCGGGCTGACAGCTGATGTCCACAGCCAGCCCTGATGAGTGTGCTGCTAAGAGAGCCAAGGAGAAAAGGAGTGCAAACAGTGATTAGTCCACAAATAAGAAGTTGCTTTTCTGGCAGCTTATAATAGACTTTGGCAGGGGTAGGGACAACTATGAATAAATTGCTTATACTTTCTAATAAGTACATCTTAACTTGCCTTAAAGAAGCAATACGTGATGTTTACTGTCTTAAAAATGCAAAAACAGGACTAGGTCATTTTATTGCAGTTTGCAGTGGTACAAAGTTATTCCTCAGTTACCTTTACCAACCGTCCTAATTATTCATCCCTATGAGTAATTTTCACAACAGTGGAGTGGAGTTTTTGCTGTGATGGTTAAGCAACAACAACTAGCATGCTAATGTGCACCTCCTGATAATCAGAGAATGAAATTCCTAATTAGATCCAAACCGTACACAGCAGACTTATTTTGACCTCAAGAGCTGCTTCTACAATCTATCTGTACTGGGGTAAAAACAACATGCATGTGCTTAAATACATGGGAGGAAAGCAATTTAAAAAATGTATAATATTTAAAATAATCAAAGTCACTAGTGTCTGAACTGTGTAAGGAAACAAGGGCATTCAAAATCTGCTCAGAACAGATACTGTGAGCTAGAAATGGGAGTATCAGTATCTATTCATCGATACTGATATTGATACTGACTCATAAATACAAATGTGTGTATCAGTACTGTTATGCAAATATCTATACTAATTAAAATATGTACAATTTAAGACTAAGCATCAATTATGAACATGCTGGGGACAGTTCTTTGTTTTATGTCAAACACCTTCAGCGGCATTTGGGTCTGACTCATCTGTCTGTCCCTTATGTATACATATATTTATTGAAATGCCTTCACCACAGCGTTAGAGTATTGCAGGGGTCTCCAATCTGTAGCTCGGGATCTACCAGTAGCTCTCCTCTCCCTTCCAAGTAGCTCGCCAACGGATTTCTGAGTTATACGTATTGTGCTGAACAACTAAAATTGGATTGATTGAAGGCTTTTATCATTGTAACTGTATCATTTTGATGACTAAATTTGTGCATGTTGTAAATTTGTAAACATATAAATATCTAACTGTGCCCCATCTAAGATTGTGGCTCTTAAATTTACTCAGTTTCTGGTGACCGCTAAAATGAGGAGCTCTTTGGTATTTTCATTTGTTAAAAGTAGCTCACTGGAGGAAAAAGGTTGGAAACCCCTGGAGTCTTGAGTATCAGTATAACAAAAATTGCTCCCAAAAAGTACTAGTACTTGTACTTGTGGCATCATCCATCTGTAGTTTGAGGGAGTACTAACACATCCATGGAAACACGCTTCAGTATAACCTAGTGGTAAATGTAGTCACCTTTAGTCGTCGAGTTTAGCCGTAGTGAACTGAAAACACTATTGTGTGGTGTGTGTGTATTGTGCTAGCTCTACCAGCACCAATGCCAAGCGCATGGCCTCTAACGTTCACATCACCAGCAGTGAGGAGCAAGCAGAAGGCAAACCCAGCCCCAGTGACCTGCCCATGGATGCGCTCTCGCCACCAGAGGCCGCCAACGAGCAGCGCACCGTGTCTGCTGAACCCCCGGAGAAGGGAGCCAAAAAGACTAAAAACAACAAGGGGGCCAAGCAGGAAGCACCAGAGGGCAACGCCGCCACCGAGACGACGCCCCCTGCGGACGGCCTGGAGATTCCCGGGCCATTAATCAACAACAAGAGGAACAGCTTCAGGGAGTATGCCAAGCTGCCCACAAACCTGCCCATGCGTAGTGCCGCCTGTGTGATTCTGTGAGCTGCGCGATGGAGCCGGGTGACAAGGCTCCCGACCACAGCGGCACCCACAGCACAAGGGCGGGGCATGGTGCGAAAACTGTACTTTCCTTTCACTCATTCAAGTTACACTTCATAAATAAGTAAAGGGTTTGTGTCTACGGCAACACATAGGGGTCCACGTCTGTTAGAGCTGTAGTAGGCAAGTTTTAAAGAGACAAGGCAAGGGTGACCTGTGTCCCCCTGGAATTTTGAAGCGACGACAGCACATTTAATTTATTTAATTCATCTAATTCATTTTATCTCCCAGTCTGCATCTCAGTATGTTTTACTAGTTAATTTAATACACTTGTTTTTATGAGACATTGTAACTTCATAGATCATATTCTCAAAATGCATTTACAAAGGTCACCCATCAGTGTAGCACCTTTATACACCAAACTTTACAGTCTTGTACTTGTTCATATCTAATTCTAGGCCTGATTTATTAAAGCATTAAATTTTTACTTATTTATTTTTTCAATTTTCAGAAGGATAATTTCTAAAGTAAAGGATTACATGATCATTTCTTACATTTTTAGATAAATTAGAGAAATTTCAAATTTATCTCTGCAGTGTTTCACCTTAAAATATCTTGTTTTGGTTAGCTAGATTTCTCCAAACTGAAGACATACAAATCTATTCTTGCGCAGTGATACACATTACACATCATGGCCTACTACAGCTTTAACTGTTGCTCATGCTAACACTTAAATGACACCTATGTTATATAACATGTTTCTATGTTGAAAAAAGGAAGTGCCGATTCTGCTTAACTCCTGCAACACATACAACAGAAAATCAAGATTACTTTCTGTTAAATGGTTCAGACGTACGGGTTTGTCTTGAATTACTGTCTTTGGGAAAGATTAAGTGAGCCATAATAACAGGGCTTACAGAGACGTTCAGATCATGTATGTATGTATGCTTCTTTGAATTCACTGACTGTTTTCATGATAGATTCTACTTAAATGATTGAAATAAGTAGATGTCTGCTACTTTGAGCCTTTGGTGGTATGTTCACAGTTCTGTTGTCTGCATGTACTGATTTCTGTATTATAGCTTTGATTTATATAAAAGTGTATGTACAGCATTTTGATTGTGTTTCTTTTATTTGAATGAACAAATAACATACTCAAAACTAAAATTAAAGCAATTGTATGCAGGCTGTGCTCTTACATTTTTAAAAGGTACTACAGTCATAACTGAACTGGACGCCATACGCCTAAACCTGCACACAGGATTTTCTCATTCTCTGTAGACAAACAACTCATGCCTTGTGTGAAAGCTCAGAACCTCCAGAATTCTCTCCCTGAGCTGCAGAGGCTCCACTAGCACTGAGTCAGGACTGTCTGCGTGTGCTGGGGTTTAGGTAGTGACCATTCAGATCAGAGCCATTTTAGGTTTAAACGCACTGATTCTGTATTGAAACTGACAACACAAAGAGACTCGTGAGGTTCATTCTGCTTTCTGATTGGATAATCATTGTAAGAATCAAAACATAAATGTGACATCATTGCTTTTTTTTTTTTTTTTTTTTTTTTAGCATCAGTACACTCTTTATTTGATTTAAACATATTTATATCATATCTGAAGACTCAGATAGGTCAGGTTTATTACATTAAAATCCATATTACATGCAGTGGCTGAGTTTGGCTGCATGGCTGAGTGACTAGCACTCATGCTTCACAGCAAGAAGGTTCCGGGTCCCGCATCAACTCATAAAACATGCACCATAGTTAAAATCCTCCAGCTAAGATAGTCCTAACTAAGGTAGCAACAAGATCATGGAGATGGGCCCCTGGGTGCCCCTTGTGCTGCCCACAACTCCTGAAAGGATGGGTGAAATGCAGAGGACAGAGGATTTCCTTGGAGGGATAATAAAGTACAACAAAGCAAACAGAAAAGCTGCTTTAAGGTTAAAGTTCACTTTATTGTCCTCATAGGGAAATTCATCCTGTGCATTTGACCCCCCATTGACGTTGTGAGTCACTGGGGGGACCTATCTCCAGATCTCAAGCTACTCAGAATTACCTAAGATGGAGGATTTAACTGATTGTGCAAGCTTCATTCTCAAAGCTTCCTACACAGGTCATCAGGTACTTAGTGAAGATGAAAGCCTGAACATGTTAAAAGTTATAACATTGCATGACACTTGTTTGTGTCTTATCAAAATGACAGATCTGTGGCTTTGTCATGTGCGGTTTCATGATGAGTGAGCTTGCTCGAATGATCTTATGAACAAGTTGCTTCAGAACCTCTTGAATACAGTTTGCTAAAACAATATGCTGTTTGCACATTTACATTAAAACACTTGACACTTGATGGGAATTCCATACTGTACAATCAGGGTGGAAACAGTATTAAACATTTGTACTCAAGTAAAAGTACTGTTACAAATCCCAGTACTGCTGATGAGCTATGCTCAAGCATGATTAATTAAACGTGATTGAATTATATTGGTTTCAAGAGCCAGTGTTTTTTTTTTTGTTTTGTTTGTTTTTATCTGTTTTTTGGTTCTATTTTTGGTTCTAGGTTGTAATGTTGTATCCTCATCAAAAATATAACCGAGAGTTGCTTTTTTTTTTTTTTGTTTACCTTTTTTTCAGTAGAGATCAGCAATTCCAGGGCTGCAATGATCCAAATGATTCAAGTGAAAGTGAGTGGAGTTTAAAAACACAGTGGAGCTTTTCCTTTATTCCCACATGATATATCACAAAGTAGAAGTGTTTTCTGTTAAGCCAAAGATGTTCATTTTGTCTTCTTATGTACTTTAACTTCTTGGGTTCTTTTTAAAGACAGTACAGTACAGTGTATTTACCTTGTTTACCTGCAAGCCATCTTCAGAACTGACCTTAGTTAATGAGGTTCCGATTTTACAGTGTTTTGTGTCAGTTTTAACTTATTAATGTGGCCGTCCTTAGTCGTTTCAAATTCTAATTCAAATGTTTGTTCACCTGTTTATGTATCTCTTCTTCCATGGGGAAAAGCCGTCCGTATTTCTCCCTTTCGTCCCTCAGTTCTCGTTCGATGTTTCTCTGCTTGTTGAGGGTGATGCGAATCCTTTTTAATAGTGTTTTCTTCGCCTCATTAATGATTTGTTTTGCATCATGGGTGGGGACCAGGGCCTTGATGTTAATACTTGCTGGCGTGATGTTCTCGTCTCTGCGTCGGAGGTTGAAGTGGTGAGGTGGTTGTTGTAGCGGGCAATCGCCTTTTGCAGCCTCTCCACATGGCAAAGTGCTTTGACACTTTTTTGGTCAAAGATGTTCATTTTGTCTTCTTCTGTACTTTAAATTGTTGGGTTCTTTTTACTGTCCAAGAACAGTTCTGAAGATGCAGCCGAAACATGTCAAGAAGGTACCGTATTAGGCACTCTGGATTATAAGGCGTCATTAAATGGTCTATTTTCGAACTTTTTTCACAAATAAATAGCACCGGACATTAAAGGAAACACAACAGTTAGATGGGTGAGTCGGACTTTGTTTGTGGCGTTCACGGTGACTCCGGGCTTTGTTCAGTTGTGGCGTGTAGGGAGGGTGCTGTCTGGGACCGCTGGAATGTCGGCGTGTTCGCAGTGACTCAGTTGTTCAGTTGTGGCTAGAAGTGGCACATCGACTCGATTTTGCGGTTCGTTCCTCCGTTCCATTCCTCGTCGGCGTGGAGTGATGAGTGTGGCTGTGGGTGTTTGTCACTGTGCAGTCACTGTCTGCTCTGTGTGTGTTTGCGTGCGCTGCCGGTGGTGCGGCTTTGTAGTTTACTGAAGTCGTGCTGCGACACCCGAGTGGATTCGTGTATAGGCCGCTCTGGATTGTGGGACGCACAATAGTTTTTTGATGGGGTTGGAGGCTTAAGAGCGCGTCTAATAGCCCGGAAAATACGATAAATACACTTCACTGTATTGTCTTTAAAAAGAACCCAAGAAGTTAAAGTGCTTCCTGTTTGCAAAAACAACTCAGCGTAAATGTCAAGGGTTTGTGAGTTAAAAATGCTTGAATGAAACAAAACAAAACCCCATATATGTTTTTGCTGAGGAATTATAGAAAATACCAGAATGTAGGCCCTTTAAAATAGATGGGGGCAGGTCAAAAGAATAGTTTAAATTCAGATATTTGTTATAATATAGTGAGTTAGTAGTAGAAATGATCAGGATCAACATTTGTGAATTAACTTTTTAGATCAGGCATGTTCAAACTATGGCCCGAGGGCCAAATGTGGCCCTCAGAGTTCAAGGTGAATTGGCCCAAATTACCTTGCATCAATTAAAAATTATTTTTTTACTGCAAGTTTTTTGAAAATCTACCTAGATATAGCTAATATTGAATATTTACTGTGTGTGAATATGAATGAATGAATAAGGACCGATGGCTCATTCTAACATGTTAAACATGCACATATTTATCATACACAATTATTTACTGTATTCAGCACCAGTCTACGGCCCTCGATCAGCCCTCTGCTTTATCTACGTTTAGATATGTGGCCCTTGATGAAAAAAGTTTGGACACCCCTGTTTTAGATATTTCACAGCAAAGTACAATGAAATGAATCGGAAAAATACTGACTCTCTCCCCCATCTCAGAGTATGACATCATCTCATTCTAAAATCTGAAAAAACAATACTTGTACAAGAGCACAAACACCACTAATCCTGTACCTTTTCAGTTCTAAATCTCCCTAACCTCAACTCACCCTTAGTCATGTGCTGATAACAGACTCCACAGTCACTTTGTATGGTTTTCAGTAATTCCGCTGATCTTATAATGAAAGTTCCCAAACACCACTCGCATTATGTCATAAACCAAAATGGCGTCATGTTTGCAGAGTTAAAGCATAACCGGTTACGCTTGATACTTTTTTTTTTGGCTTTTCGCACTGTTCCTTGCCGTGTTTCTTCATCAGATGTCATTACACGATAACGGGGAAGCAATCAGGAAACCGCTTAAGTACTACTTCCTGCCGGTTACCACGGAGACAGACCTC